GTCTTTACAGTTACTTGCTATGCATTTGAAAGGTAGACAGTAAGAATGACAGAAGAAGAATTGATCCCTTTGAGTTGTGCTATTGGAGAAGAAGACTGAGTATCTCATGACCTGCCAAGTGAAATAACAAGTGTGTCTTGAAAATGTAAAATCAGAACGGTGTAACTTTGTCTCACATACTTTGGGCATGTTGTAAGGAAGGGCCAATCCTTGGAGAAAGACATGTTTGGAAAGTGTAGGGTGAGTGAAGGAGAGGAAAACCCTCAATGAGATGGATTAACACAATGACTCTAACAATATGCTCAAGTATATCAGAAACGGTGAGAATGATATAAAATAGGGCAAGGTTCAGATCTGCTATTCATAGGGTCCCTACAAGTCATGGTTGGCACAATACCACCTAACAGCAACAACAATTAAAACGCACTAAATAATAAAAAATAATAGATAAAATTCAGAAGAATGGGAATTTCAGAAGTCTTAATTGTGTTCATGCAAAACCTATATGTAAACCAAGAAGTTTTTTTCTGAACAGAACAAGAGAACATTGTATGGTTTAAAATCAGGAAAGGTATACATCAGAGTTGTATCTTTTATCCAAGCATTTGCTGCAGAAAGTCAGGGAGTGTGGTCTTCGATTTGGATTGAAGCTCAACATCAAGAAGACAAAGATTCTTACCACTGGGCCAATTGGCAATACCATGATAGATGGAGAAAAGATTGACGTTGTTAATAATTTCATCTTGCTTAGTCCCACAATCAGTGCTCTTGGTACCATCAATCAGGAAATCAAAAGATGAATTGCAGTGGGAAAATCTACTGTCAAGACCTCTCCAGAGTACTAAAGAGCAACTATGTCAGTCTAGAGGCTTAGGTACCCCTAATTCAGGTCATGGTCTTTGCAGTTACTCTCTATGCAACAGAGTGCTTGACAGTTACTGGGATGCCTCTGAGTTGTGGTGCTGGAGAAGAGTATTGAGCATCGACTGCCAAGAGAATTAACAGGTCTGTCACAGAGACCTGATAATGAAACAAAGCTGCTTCTTGGAGGCAAGGATTTTGAAGCTCTGTCTCATATAGATAGCAGCAGTCAAGAAATCAAAACACATAATTCATTGGGGGGAAAAATGTGCTGTCAAAGACCTCTCCAAAGTGCAAAAGAGCAAAGATGGCAGTTTAAAGACAATGATACAGCTGATCCAAGCCTTGATTTTTTTATTACTTTCTACACATCTGAATAAGGATGACAGAAGAAGAATCAATGCCTTTGTATTGTCATTTGGAGAAGATTATGGAGTATTTCATGGGCTGCCAAATGAACAAAGAGTTTGTCTCCTAGAAAGTACAACCTAATGGTTCCTCAAAGACAAGGTTGGTGAAACTTGTCACATACTTTGGGCACACTGTCAGAAGGAGTCAGTCTTTGGAAAAATACATCTTGCTTGGAAAAGTGGGGGGTCAGAGAAAGAGAAGAAGACCAACTACAGTTGGATTGACACAGTGACTGTAACAATCAGCTTGAGCATGGTGGAGATTGTTAGGGTGGCACAGGATAGGGCAAGGTTCATATCTGCCTTGATGACACCTAACAACAATAACAATGTACTAAAATATGGTTTATATAGATAACACCTTTATGTATAGTGTATTATATACAGAATAATTTGTTTCATTATAGTATAATATATACTGTGGCTTAGTAGTAAGTAGCTGCACTCCAACCCAATGGTACATAGTTTGAATCCACCAGCTGCTCCATGGGAGAAAGATGAACAATCTCTTCCCATGCAACTAACTGCCTCTGAAAACCAGCTGGAGGGTCAGCTATGAGTCAGTCCTGACTTTAAGACACATAACAACAACATACGTAGAGTTTACTATAGTAGAGTCTAGTATGTTATTGTTGTGTATCATCAAGTAGGAACCAACCTATAGCTGACCCTCATGCAGGTTTTTAGACGGAATTAATTGCGCAGCAGGAGATTTTCCATTTTTCTCCAGTAGAGCAGCTATAGGCTCGAACCATGTGCCTTCAAGATCGCAGCACAGCTTCCTGCCACTAGGCCACCAGAGCTCCCTAGAGTTTAGTATAGTGTAATACGTATTAATAACAATATGTTGTGTACCGTCAAGTCAGAAACAACTCAGCTGACCAGCCAAACAGGTTAGCAAAGAGAGTAATTCACATACGAAGTTATTGTATAGCTTTTGTGAAGCAGCTGGTGGATTCGAACCACATGCCACTGGTTGACAAAGGAGCTCCTTACCACTAGACTAACAGGGCTCCCTAAGAATAGTGTGATAGAGTATGTTTTGTTGTTGTTGTGCACTATAGAGTCAGAACCAACCTGTAGTTGACCCTCCAGTGGGTTTTCAGAAGCAGATAATTGCATAGGAAGAGATTGCCCATTTTTCTCCCACGGAGCAGCTCCTGGATTTGAACCCTATACCTTCAGGATTGCTGTGCAGTTTCTTGCCATGAGGTCACCAGAGCTCCTTGGAATATGTTATAGTGTGGTATAATCAAAGTTCTATAGCATCTATATAACATAATAATTTGAGCTTTGGTTTTAGAATTACAAGTTTAGTTTCAAATCCTGGTCCTGACACATACTACTCTCACACTAATAGCATAGTCTTGATCATATTAATCCCTGAACTCTAGTCTTGTCATTTTATAAGCGAAGATTAAAAGTATTTCCTGTGAATTGTGAGGTTTAAATTGTTTTGAGAACCATGAATATAATGCATGGAAGGAACAAGCACTGACATTTAATAAGTCCTCGGTGAACACTGTCATATTTATGCACCTCATTGACAGTGGGATGTGATGAAAATTGCTCACTTTAAGACCATGCTTTGTTAAAAGCATCTCATAAGGACTGGCTAGGATGTGACTCATAAGAGTGGTTGAGTAGTTGCACATTTACTCCTTAAGGCTTCTAAGTGAACTTGCCAGTCAGTTATTGTGTTTCACAAAGATAGGAGAGGATCCTGGAAGAATATGAAGTTATAAAATCCCAGCACAATTGGTGAAAACAGAAAAGGAGAGACAAGCATTAGGATGCTTCATAAATGACAGACAACTGCAGATTCCCACAGATTTTTCTGTGGAAAAGAGCAGGGCTGAAGCCATAAACAAAGAGCCTGAATTTTATGTTGTAGTGTTATCTTAAAAAAAAAAACACAGAAACAAAAAACACCAAATCAAACAAACACAAAAGATCCACACGTGATAAAAGATTCATGTTTTCAAATAATCAAAAGGAAAGCCTACTGGGAAAATATTATGAATATTGAATACTCAAGATGACAAAATGTATAAAATTAAGCTCAACTGTCTTTCTTTTTTAACTGCTATTGATAATGATCACAGGCTGGCCCTGAGATATTTTAAATTTACAAGTGTGATGTGGTAAAGACATTCATATTCTTATGCATAAGAATTCCTATGACTTAAGGAAAGTAATCTTTAAAGAAACACTCAAGGAACTCTGGTGGTGCAATGCTTAAGTGTTCAGTCACCCCTTGAAAGGTACTTAAGAGCAACTATGTCAGTATAGAGACTAAGGTGCTCCTAATCCAAGCCAATCCAAGCCTTCACAATTACTTGCTATACATCAGAGAGCTGAACAATGACTAAGGATGAAAGAAGAATCTGTTCCTTTGAGTTGTGCTGGAGAAGAGTGTTGAACATACCATGAACTGCTAGGAGAAAAAACAGGTCGGTTCTAAAGAGGGTGAAACCAAGCTGCTCCCTTGGAGGCAAGGATTTTAAGACTTTGTCGCAGATACTTTGGGCATGTAGCTAGGATGGACCAATCCTTGGAGAAGGACATCATGCTTGGAAGGGTGGAGGGACAGAGCAAGAAAGGAAGACATTCAATGAGATGGATTTACTCAGTGACTAGGGTAATGGAAGTAGGTGTGTCAGAGACAATGAAATTGGATCAAAATAGAGCAGAGTTTAGAACTGTTCTACATAGGGTTATTATGAATTGCAAGCAACTCAATGTCATATAACAACAACAATAATAATAATGTGACTTACAGAATTTGTCTAACAGCTTTCACAGACAAATTTGAAAGGAAATAATGTCATCCTTGCCCATATTCCCAATAAATTGTGATTATCAAGTAAGATCATATAAGCGAAACACTTAACTTTTAAAAAGGAGAATTCAGTATGTTGGCATCATTGTTCTAATGAAAAAGAAATTGAGAGACAGTGGAGAGAATCAGAAAGACTAAAGGCTTGAGAATCACACACTATTATGTTCAATAATATCAACCCTGTTTCTACTCTTATTAGCTCTGAGACTGTGGGAAAAGACACTTAAACCTTCTCTGCCTCAATTTCCTCTGTTATAAAAATATAATTAATAAAACTGTATCATAAACTGCCAAAAGAATGAACAAATTTATTTGGTTTTTATTATTTTTTATTATTATTTTAATGCAAGTTTACAGAAAAATTGAATTTTATTCGTTGGGTTTTGAAAAAGTGTAACAAAGGTACTTCTTAGAGGCAAGGATGGAGATATATTTACATACTTCAGACATGCTGCCTGAAAGCTGAACCTCAATGTAGAAAAGCCAAAAAAAAAGAGAGAAAATGATGAAGGAAGAGACCTGAAGAGCCCACGGAGCCAAACTGTTATGACAAAAATACATAGACCTGGTTTTAGAAAAGGGAAAACCATGGCTGGACATTTTTCAATTTGAAAGGACTAGAGGATGAATTCAAACCTCAAGCTATAATACTGAAGGATTCCACGACTAAGATGTTGAACTATCCAGGAAGTATTAGAAGAGGATGGAGGGAATAGACAGAGTTACTGTACCAAAGAGAATTGGTAGACACTGAACCATTTCAGGTTGGTACCATATGATCAAGAACTACCGGTCACAGCTTCTTTACTGCTCGCTCCCCGCTCCCCTCAACGCCACTCCACCTGCATTGTGCTCAGAGCTCCTGCACAGCTCACAGCACCTCCATCATGCTCATCTACCAGGACCTCTTCAACTATGATGAGATGTTCGCCGACATCTACAAAATCCTGGAGATCACGGATGAACTATGCCTGAATGTGGAGGGGAAGATGGTCAGTAGGACAGAGGGTAACATTGATGACTCGCTCACTGGTGGCAATGCCTCTGCTAAAGGCACCGATTGTGAAAGAGACGAAAGCACAGTAATCACTGATGTTGACATTGTCATGAACCATCACTTGCCGGAAACCAGCTTCACAAAAGAAGCCTACAAGAAGTACATCAAGGACTGCATGAAATCAATCAAAGGCAAACTTGAAGAATAGAAACCAGGAAGATTAAAACCTAATATGGCATGGGCTTCAGAACAGATCAAGCTCATCCTCGCTAATTTCAAAAACTACCAGTTCTTTACTGGTGAAAACATGAATCCAGATGGCATGTGTGCTCTGTTGGACTGCCGTGAGGATGATGAGACTCTATACATGATTTTCTTTAATGATGGTTTAGAAATGGAGAATGTAACAAATATGGCACTTATTTGGATCCATCACCTGTCTGTATCTTATCTGGCTGCTGCTTTTCACCACACCAGGATTTAGGCAAATGGGACTGATACCATCGTGAGTGCTCCCTTGCAGTTTGACCTTCACTTATTTAGAGTGGAGGCATTTTTTTAAAGGAAAAACAAAGTCATAGGTTGTCTAAAAAGAAAATGCATTTAAACTTAAAAAAACCCTACTGGTAATAAAGGTGAGGGAAATTGAAAGAATCTATTGTCGAAAACAATGTATTGGAATTTTGTAAATAAGTAAAATTTTTTTAGAGAACTACTGGTAACAAAGGAAGATATTTAAGCTACAGTGAAGGAAGTGACAGAAAAATAAGGACACAGTAATTGATGGAAGACCAACTGAAATGTTTCAGCAAAGAGAGTCTTGGAAATTCTTATAAGTCTATGCTAAGAAACTTAGAAGACAGCTACTTGGTCAATTGAGTGGGAAATATCCAATTTGTTCCCATTTAAAAACAAACAAAAAGGTGATCCAACAGAGTGTAAAGATTACTGAATAATATAACTGATATCACATGCAAATAAAATCCTGCTGAAGATTATTAAATAACTGAAGCGGCTGTAGAACAAGGCATTTCATTGCTGATGTTTGGTGGACCCTGACTGAAAGCAGAGGGCTCTGTGAGGAGAAATGTGGCATCAAGATTGGAGGTAGATTCATCAACAACCTGCGTTATGCAGATGACACAACCCTGCTTGCTGAAACTGAGGAGGACCTGAAGCGCTTGCTGCAGAAGGTCAAGGACTGTAGCCTTCAATAAGCATTGAAGCTCAACATTAAATAAACAAGATTCTCACCATTGGGCCAGTTGGCAGCATCATTATAAGTGGTGAAGAGATGGAGATTGTTAACAGCTTCAGTTTGCTTGGATCCATGATCAACATTCTTGGTACCAGAAGCCAGAAAATGAAAAGACAAATTTTATTTGGAAAGTCTGCTGTCAGGACCTCTCTAGAGTACTGAAGAGCAGTGATGTCCTTCTGGAGACCTGACCCAGGCCATAGTCTTTACAAGTACTTGGTATGCATCAGAAAGCTAGACAGAGACTAGGCATGATAGAAGAATTGATGCCTTGAGTTGTGGTGCTGGAGAAGAGTGTTGAATATACCATGGACTGGTAGGAGAACAAACAGATTCATCCTAGAGAGGGTGAAACCAGGCTGCTGCTTTGGAGCCAAGGATTCTGAGGCTTCGTCTGACATACTTTGGTCATGTTGCAAAGAGGGATCAGTCCTTAGAAAGGGATATCATACTTGAGATGATGGAGGGACAGTGCGAGAGAGGAAAACCCTTGATGAGATTACTTGTTTCAGTCACTGGTGTGGTGGAGGTAGGTGTGTCAGAAACAATGAGGTTGGCACAGGATACAGCAGGGTTTAGGGCTGTTGAACATGGTCGCTATGAGTCACAAGCGACTTGACAGCACGTAACAATAACAATATTATCTACAAGAAGGTATTTGTGTAGATTCCAGAACACTTGACTTAGCTCATAAAGTTCCTTCTTTCAGATAGACCAAGAAACAGCATTTCAAATAGAACAAGGAGACAGTGAACAGTTTAAAATCAGAAAAACTGTTCATCACAGTTGTTATCCTTTCTCCATACTTATGCAATGTAAATGCTGGACAAATAATGCATAAAGCTGGATGTATGAAGAATATATAACTAAGATTCTAAGAAGATTTATCAACAACCTATATTATGCATATGACATAACCTTGTTTAGAGAAAGTAGACTTAAAGTACCTATTGAACAGATAAAAAGATTACAGCTTTCAATATGGATTGTACCTAAACATCAAGAAACAAAAATCCTCACAGTTGGACCAATAGCAGATCATGATAGATGGATAAAATATTGAGCTCAAGGATTTAATTTTATTTGGATTTATTTACATGATAGCAGCAGACAAGAAATCAAAGCAAGTGTTCTATTAGGTAAATCTGCTGGCAAGAACTTCATTAAAGTTATAGAGTGGTGGTGTTGTTAGGTGCCATTGAGTTGTTTGCAACTCATAGTGACCCTATATACAAGAGCCCTAAACCTTGCTCTATCCTGTGCCAACCTCACTGTCTCTGACATACCTACTCCCTTTACCCCAATCACTGAATCGATTCATCATATCGAGAATCTTCCTCTCCTTCACGGTCCCTCCACTCCCCCTAACATGATGTCTGTCTCCAAGGATTGGTCCCTCTTTGCAACATGCCCAAAGTATGTTAGTTGAAGCTTCAGAATCCTTGCCTCCAAGGAGCAGCCTGGTTTCACCCTCTCCAGGTCAAACCTATTTGTTCTCCTAGAAATCCATGGAATATTCAACACTCTTCTCCAGCACCACAGCTCAAAGGCATCAATTGTCCTATCATCTCTAGTTACTGTCCAGCTCTGCAATGCATAGTATGCAATTGCAAAGAATATGGCCCAGACCAGGCACACCTTAGTCTCTAACCTGACGTCATTGCTCTTCAGTACTCTGGAGAGGTCCCTTGATTTCCTGGCTGCACCAAGAGTATTGACTGTGGAGCCAAGCAAACTAGAACTGTTAACTATCTCAATCTCCTCACCATCCATAATGATGATGCCAATTGTCCCAGTGGTGAGAATCTTTCTTTTCTTGATGTTGAGCTTCAATCCATATTGAAGGCTGTAGTCCTTGACCTTCTGCAGCAAGTGCTTCAGGTCCTCCTCAGTTTCAGCAAGCAGGGTTGAGTTATCTCCATAACACAGGTTGTTGATTAATCTTCCACCAGTTCTGATGCCACATCCTGGATGTTCTATTCTGCATATTGAAAAGACATGGAGACAAAATACATCCCTGGTGGACCCCTTCCTGATTTGGAACCATGAAGTGTCTCCTTGCTCTACTCAAGTATAGGTTTTCCATAAGCACAATCAAATATTTTGGGATCCCCATTCTTCTGAGGCTCCCAGTTAAAATAATTTTGGGACTGGGACAGGAGATGGATTCTGATGCTTGGCTGACTGACCTCGCTGCTTTACTGCAGGTACAGGGGACCAATCAAGGCCTCTGTGGGCTGGGGCTCCCAGTTAAGTTTTTTTTTTAAATTTTATTATTTTTTTTGTGTGTACCCTCAAATCAGATCTGACTGGAACAGGAAGAGATTGCCCCTCCTTCAGCAAAGCATCTGGTGGATTCAAACTGAGTACCTCTGGGATTGCAGTGCAGCTTCTTGTCACTAGGCGACCAGAGTTCCCCAGTTAAGTTTTTTTTTTTATAAAGAGTGAGGATGTCCATCTATAAGCTAAGGTGCACCTTACTCAAGGTATGGTCTTTATAATTGCTTTGTATGCATATGAAATTTTGGTGTAGAAATAAGGAAGACTGAAGAAGAAGCAATGGCTTTGGTGAAGATTATTTAATTCCCAGTGGAGTGCCAAAAAGCAAACAAAACTGTTTTGGAGAAAGTGAAACCAAGGTGCTTCTCAGAGGCAAAGATGACTAAACTCCATCTTACCCATTATATACTGTTGCACTTTCTCTGACCAGCAGGAAAGTGCTGGGCAATCAGAATGAATTACTCGTGACTTTCCTTAGTTAAGAGAGTACTGAGTGTCCTCATGACTTTATTTATGTCCTCATGGTTTTATTGAGAAGTTTTTCATTACATAAGCAGTAAAATATGTCCAGCAGTTAACTGGACTCCATGATGTGGTGGGGTTTTTTTTGTTTTGTTTTGTTCTGTTTCTTATTGACTGACCTTCCCTGTTTCTATAACCACATCTTTATCAGAGTGCAGCTTCAGCGTGAGAATAAAGGTTATGCTGTCCCAAGGCAGGGGATTTGTTTGGTCTTTAACTGAGGCAGTTACTGTTTTGGTCAGCTTAACCTCTACATCTCCCTCTTTTTGTTTTCCTTTTACATGCTTTTATTTTTTAAAGAAATGTTTAATTTTATACTGGTTTACTTACAAAGTTTGTGTACATTGTTTTTTACACTGGATCTTTCCCATTTCCTTTACCCACCATTCCCTCTATCCATCAAATTTTTAAGGTATAAAATGTATTATTTGCCTTATACAGTAGGTTTCAGTATAGATAGTATATATATTTAATAAAACAGATTAAGGGTATAAGGTAAATAAATTAGATGTTGCTAGTTAGGCAGTATGGTGGAAGACTACTTGCTCTGAGACCTGCAACCTCCTCAGAGCTGGGAGCTCTGTATCACATTGGGGTCACTATACATTTCAGGGAGTTTGTTTTGTCTTTAACTCAGGAAGTTCCTGCCATGGTCAGTGTAACCCCTACAGTATATACTTGTGTTTCCACTTTTTAAACAATGTCCTCATACTTCTTTATGTTAAGCCCTTGTCTTAATCATGTTGTTGGATGCTGTTGAGCTGATTTCAATTCATATTGGCCACATGTGACAGACTAGAACTGCCCTCAGATTTTATTGACTGTGATCCTTATAGAAGTTGATGGCCAAATACTTATTCTGTGGAGGTCGATGGATTTGAGTCAACAACCTTTTGGTAAGTAGATAAGCCTTCATAAAAGCTACTAGATTTGTAGAGGTAAAGTGATCTGCCAAACTGTATGAAGCTGGACTATATGAAGAATTCATAATCAAAATTGAGATTAATCAACAACCTGCATTATGCATATGACACAACCTTGTTTGCAGAGAGTGAAGGAAACTTAAAAGTACTTGTTCATATGCTGAAAGTATATGTTCATATTCCTCCATCAGAAATTATTTTGAAATTATTTAACAAATTAGGTTGAAAAATATTAAGATCTCAAGACCTTGAAAAATAGTATTTTGACTATAGTTATAATAAATATAGCTCTCCTTGCAATTTGACAGATATGCATACTAAAAGAGTTTAGAGTACTTGAAACACTTTTTCTCTTATGCTGATTAATATTAGTGGATTTACATGTCAACTAAGTTTCAAATGCACCCTTTACAGATCAAATTTTCTAGTGTTTAAAATAAAGATGATTAGAGGAAGCGGTCACAGAAATGAAAATGGTTCTGGATTTCTAAGCAAGCCAGA